TGGTTTGCTGAAAATTGCCACTTTGGTCCAAAAAGATTTGGACTAGCACCATAGGTCCAAAGTTTTCATTTTGTTGCGAGTTTGGTCCAATTTACTTTAAACTTTTTTGTAATGACGATTTTACCCTTGTTTTTTGCTTTTTCAGTTTTATTTATTTAAATATTTTTATGATTAAAAAGAAAATAAAAAAAATACTTCTCTCTCTCTCTCTCTCTCTCTCTCTCTCCTGTTCATATCTTCTTGGCCTGGTTTTCACATACATACGCTACCGAAAAATCAGATCAGTTAGAAACCGTCACGTCGGAGTCGCCACCCTCTCGTCTCTGTCCCCCCACTTTTGTTTTCATCAACAGAAACCCTAACTATGGTTTTTTGTTTACATATCTGTGGTTCATGGTTCATCAAACCCACCTTATCGTCGGCCACTGGTTGTTAGAACTTGGTATGTCTTCTCTGATAACTATGACAAGATCAAGCTGACGACCACAAAACTTAGATGTTCAGATCTCGCTGGCCAAAAGCGCTAGACCTTTCCGATCTCAGTTCTTTCGTCGTCGGTTCTTTGCCGGTAGCAGTGAAGAGCTCAAGGTGACGAAGGCTTTCAAATCGGAGGGTTTTCAGATGGGTTTTCGAGATCGAAGGGTTTTCAAAGAGGTTTAAAAACGGTGTCGATGTTGACAAGTGTAGATCTGGAAATCTTTCTCATCGGAAATTACTGATGAAGACGGTCGAAGGCTGCGACGGATTTGACGAAGGGTTGCAGTGATCTTAAACGACTTGAGAAAGAGAGTTATGACTCCCTCCAAAACGACCGGCATTTATTCATCTTTGTCTTTACAGATCTGATATGCGCGACCTACGGTGGAGATGAAGGACGACATAGATCTATATCGACGGTGGTTTCGTTGGTTTCCCACAGAAATGGTAGCAGTGGCGGTGGTTTCCGATTATACTTTTCAGATATGAGGTTTTCAAGGAGACGGTGGTGGTGGTGTTGAGTTGCGGTGGTCGTATAGGCTAGATGTGTTGACCCGTCGTCGTGGTGGTGACGTTCATCATTTCCGGTGGTGACGTTTATCTTTTCCGGCGGTAGTGTTCCGACTTTCCGGTGTTCTCTGAAAAGAGAGAGAGAGAGAGAGAGAGAGAGAGAGCATATTTTATTTATTTATTTTTATTTCTTTATAAAAAATTTATAAAAGTAAAATAGAAAAGACAATTTTTTTTATTTTTCTTGTAAACAGAAAAATATTTAAATCAATAAAAAAACTAAAAAAGATAAAAGTGAGGGCAAAGTGGCAATTTTCAGCAAATCACAGGGACCATTTGTGCAATTTAGTCATATATATATATATATATATATATATATATATATATATATATATATATATATATATATCATCTTAAGTCACGTTTTACAAACAACGTGACTCGTCACGACAAAAAAAAGTTTGAGGCTTGATATTTGTCGTTAAGTCACGCCTTACGTTATTTAAAACATTACTAAATATTATAAATTAGTTTTTGTAATGTTCATGAAACTTTGAAAAGTTCAATGAATAACACGAGAAAATTTGGTAGAATTATATAAAATATAAAAAATAATGTTATAATTCATTTAATTTTATCAATTTCAATACATTGCAGATATTTTAGAATAATATAAAACAAATATAAACGAAAAAGACATAGTTAACACTCAAGATAGAGATATAATCCATAATTTTTGATAAACCATGATTTACTTAAATCGATTACAACTTGCGATGATCTTTCTTTATATTATCCCTACAATGTCTTAGGTGCTGTTTGTTTTTTCGAAACGAAAATTCATGAAGTCTGCGGACCACCTCTACAATCCTCTGTAGCAGAAGAGGTGGAACAAACGGCTGCAACCTATAATAAGAAGAATGTTTGTTTTTTAACATCTGCAGACTGCTGCAGTAAACTGAAATTTAAATAAACTAATTTTATAAACTGAAAATAGTTCTCAACACCGAAATTTAATAATTCTAGTATTAAAACATTGAAATAATAATAAAATGAACATGTAAAAAAACAAAAATACAAAACTTTTTTTTAAAAAAAAAACTTAAAAAAATGTAAAAGAAGCTAATAGTTTTATTCTAGAAAAAAAACTAATTTTAAAAAACATTAAAAAAAATAATAATAAAAAATTAAGAAAGTATTGCAAACGATGTCTACAAAGTTCGTAAAAAAGTACACATGTTAAAAAAGATGCAACTGAAATTGAAAATATTATTAATAGAAACAGTAAAAAAAATAAAAAAAAATCAAGTTAAAAAAAATCGTGGAAACTATAAAAATAAATTGTATCACATCCGTAAATAAAAATTTAAGAAAATCAAAGTTTAAAAAAAAAATAAGTTAAAAAAAATAAGTTATACAAAAATTCTTAAAAAAACATTTGGAAAAAATGAAAGCTGAAGAGGTTAGAAGAGGCAAGTCAAGTGTTGCGCCACGCAGCACACGCGCAGAGGTTTTGTAATCTGAAGCCTTCCAAAAAACAAACTGCTGCGAGAGGGAAAGTGTTGCGCGTATGCTGCGCCGCGCAGCAATAAGTGGTTTGAAAAGGTTTTTATAAAAAAACAAACAGCACTTTAGATTTAATATATTGATTATAAAATGGTCTTAGTTTTAAACTTTTTAAATACTGTCTTTTTCTAAAAGTTATTTGATTAATATATATACCTTAATTTCAGTGGGTTCTTATTTGGGAAGACGTTTTCTATAAGTCAATAACCTAATTAAAATGAAAGATTTGAAAGATCAGAAGAAAAATACAATTTATGAGGGGTTCATTTCTTAATATTGTTTTAATGGAAGATTTGCATAATTGTATAAGGATAAGAGTATGCTTTGACAAATATAGATGTTAGTTTGTTAGTTGTAAGTTAGAAACTGAAATTTAAAATCTAGTAGTTAGAGGTTATAACTTTTTTATATAAAAGTGTCCAGTAAAAATAATTATAAGTATTTAAATGACTAAAGTTAAACGTTAAAAGTTACAAAAAAATTAAAAAATTAAAAAATTAAAAAATTAAAAAATTAAAAAAAATTGGAAAAGTTTTTGAATTATGAGTTTTTTTTTTAAATAAAAATTTTAAGTTCAAAAGATAAAGTTTTTCTTCTTTATTCAAGTGTTTTATTAAAAACTAAAAAGTAAAATTTCTAAAAAAATATCGCTGCCACACATAATACCCTAACTACAAGTTTCATTGAGAATAAGTTAGGTCAATAAAAAATATTGTTTCTATTAGATATCATGAATTTGGTTTATTAAAAAAGCGACAATAGTTAAAAAGAAAGTGGATACCATTGCTCTTCTTTGCACAACTTAAGATTTGTGTATGAAAATGATTGGAACATCTGTTCAATTCTTGCAATGTGATGGTTTCTATTTGGGGTAAAGTGGAGAGATGGTGAGATATTGATAATGTTTCGGTTTCTTCATGTGTTAATCACATTCAATGGAGAAATTATTCAAGCCTAAATAAAAATCTAAAAGTAGGTTTTGATGCGATCGTTCTTCCAAAAATTTGTGTGCTTCGGAATTTTATAAATTTAATTTTGTTTGTCTCAAAAACAGAGGAAATATAGCCTTTGGACAAGCTTGTAATTGTTAAATTTATTTTGTAACATGTTTAAATTAAAACTTAGTTTGGTTGATTGGTTATAAAACTTTGCTCTTTTATATTGGTAATGATTTTTATTTTTCTACAAGTCTTGCTAATTGTATAAAAGTTTAGCCGTTAACAAAAACAAACAACAATAAACTTTCTAATTTAGATAGTATTATGAACAAATACATTCAACAAACTACTTAATAACATAAATTACAAATCATATAAAGTATAGACGAAAGTTTCGAGCCTCGAAACGACAGACGACTTCTACCTTCTTTTTTCATGAAATACACGTCATTAATCTAACTCGATAAGAACTTCAGTTTTATAGGTGATAAATTAATGATCAAATTGATCATATATCTTAATAGACAAATTTATTGTTGGTTTATAAAACTACCCAACCTTTTCATCATATTTACGGCTTTTTCACCATTAGGGTCAAAAATATGGAATACATGATCTTCACCTTCGATCTCCATCATCTCTACTTTGCCTTCCCATTTGCTCTTCACCAGAGTTTCATAATACGCCCACCCTCTGTCTCTTAATATATCATTTTCAGAAACGGTTACAATCACCCGCCCGCAACCCAGACCCGACATATCCGGAGCTCCGTCCATCAGTGGGTTGATTAACGGGTCGTCTAACCCGAGTTGAGAATCCGATGGGCATACGAACTCCCACCATTTGTCCACCATAGCTTTCCTCACAGGATCCGCTTTCTCTGACCCGATTGGCTCTTTTCCCCAGAAATACGGGTTTATTAAAATAATACCCGAAAGTTTCGGAATTGTCGGGTCTGGGTTTGATCCTATTCGCATGGCGATGTCGTGAGCTATGGTTGCTCCGGCGCTGTCGCCGGCGAGGAAGATACGGTTGAAGTCAACGTTTTCTTTTATCCATTCTTCCGTCCCGGTTCCACCGGGAGCATGGGAGGAGACCCACCGGAGAGCGGCGTGTGAGTCATCGAAGGCTGCCGGAAGTGGGTGCTCTGGTGCGAGCCGGTAATCGACGGAGACGGCGATGACACGTGCTTCTGAAACGAGGTTGGTAAGTGACTGGTGGTACTTGGGATAGAAGGGCGATGCGATGCAGAATGCTCCACCGTGGAAGTAGATGACGAGAGGGAGTTTTTCTGAGGCGGTGGTGAGAGTTGGACGGTAGAGCCTGGCGGAGACACCGGTTTCTGGAGAGATTACGACGTCCTTGGAGGTGACACCGGTGTCGATATCGAAAGATGCAGGAACAACGTCTAAGCCGACGAGTCTTTCTATGGTTCCATCTTTGTAGACTCTTATGTATGGGGGAACGTCGTGCAGTATCTCCTTGCTTACTGATCCCATGACTGTTTGTGCGGCGGGTTTGTGTGTGTGCGTGAAAGAGATGGTGTGGGAAAAAAGTGTTAGCAGGAGGCCATTAAATAGCAAACATTTGAAAGTCTCCTTTGTGCTTCCTCTTCCTAAATAAAATATTTTAGAATACTTCTTTAAAATGTTTATTTATTAAAGAAACTTGTCGGCTTTTGTTTTTTCTTTTAAAGGTTAAAAAGAAACTTCTATGGTTTTGTTGTTTTTATAAAAGGTAAAATATATGAGATGTTTTTTAAAACCCTTGGGAGTTCATGAAACATAATGGTAACCCGTCAATTTCAATCCAAATTAACCTTTCCCAAGTACCATTTTGTATCTTCGTGTTGTTTGAATTTGAGATAAGAGCTTCGAGGTTTAAATTCTATCTACAACCACAATCCACCAATGTAATACACCTCAACATCACCAAAGTCTTCTTTTTTTACAAACTTTACTAATGTTTGCAATTAAGTGAACTGAACATCCCAAACCTTTGCCAAAACAATACATGAAGCATCCGCAGCTTTTAAAAGATCGTTGTCATCTATTTCAATAGCTTGACAATCCCCATACATCCCTTGATTCTTCTTTAGAGCATCCACAATGCAAGTAGTATAAGAGTTGAATATGATGATGACTAAGAGCATCCACAATGGTGAGTTCTCATAGTTGAATGAGGTGACAAGTTCATGTGTCATTCATTTGATGAAACTCTACCATTGTGAGATGCCACATTGGCATTCAATGGATTTGGAGTTCAATGGTCATTGAACTCTTCAATGGGAAAAAAGAAAGTTTTTTATTTTTAAATATTTACTATAAATTACATTTTGTAACATTCTATTGAACTTTGTAGAGTTCAATGCATTGTAGAGAAAAAAAATAATAAAGTTATATGGATTGTAGAAAGATGATGTGACAATCCATTGAACTCTATGGAGATCAATGCATTCTGAATGCCCTAAGATTAAATAATAGTTGACTGGAGTGTGGGTGATGACATGGAGTAGAGTTGAATGGAAGAGTTAAATGATCATTAAATGGTCCAATAGAATAAATAAAGTGGTGATTAGGATTGAATATGTTTTTAATGGGTTGTGGGTGATGCTGTTGTATAAATGTTTAATGGATGATGTGACAATCCATTAAACTCTATACAGTTCAATGGATTGTGGATGCCCTTAATATCAGCTCATTTGCCACCACCACCGATGCATAAGAATTCCTTTTTTCAAAGGGTTTAATATTATTCTCATGCATTACTTGAGAAGATTGATCACCGAAACTGCTACTTCGGAATTCCTATAGTTTTCGTCATTAACCCTTTTTTAATTAAGATTTTTTTAAATCTTATTTAGCAATATACTATTATATAATAATAACATCAAAAGAAAATGAAATTACAATACGACCAATTGGGTGTGTAAATTGATCCAGAAATCTTGAATAATTAAATTGGTCAGTCAATGCCATATTTTCATAATTTATATACAAGATATGTAAACTAAGACATTTTTGGGGTTATAAGGTTGATTAAAATTTTGCATGGTCCCTACAATAAGGAGAATTATTGAAACTCTTCTCCTAAGTCGTGCCTTCGATCTTACGAATTTCTAACTTGTTACCAAAATCTCATAAATGCACCGCACTATTTTCAAAACACAGAATTGAAATTTATTCAAAACGTGGCAAGAAAAAAGTCCAGTTGCCTCTAAAATCCAATTGACATAATAACAACAATTGTCTAATTAAAATTTTACACATGCTTCTTCTAAGATATATCTTTAACAAATAAAATTTCGGGTTGTAATCAAACAATTGGTGAAATTTTTCATCAGTGGCTTTTACCACCCAATTGTTGATATATTACAATGAAACATTTGAAACGCACAAATTTAATAGAAAATGATTTTGTATTTTTCAAGTGTTTGAGACCTTGAGTGCGTGTGTCCAAGGTATGAACTGAATAAAGAAGAAAAAAAGAACAAGACCTTGAGTACTTGGTAACTTTATTGCTGGAAAAAGTTAACTTAAACATTCTAAACATTAACCTTATTTATACTAATAAAACTAGACTCCTACTTTAACACAAAAATTGCATGAAAGGAATATTCCCTAAAATACTCCTAGAACTAATATTATCTCAGATTTCCTCTTGTAATAAACCGATTAATCCAACAATCACCACCTTATCGGTTTGTCCACGCCTGTCACTTACAACTATGTTTCTCCACCATTAACCACCGACGAACAACACCACATTCACAACATTTGTTCACCGTCGACCTATCGGCTACGTCACCTGCAAAACTCGTCGACAACAATTGTTTTAAGCAACACCATGTTTAGCATTTGAATACCGAGAGCCACATGCTATCATCATCACTGAACCACACACAATCTTGGTGTACCTTGTTCCAGCAACCTGTTTTACCAAGGCAGCAACTACTACGATTCTCGACCTTTCTCGGACACCCGACCTCCACCTCTGTTACGTCCAAAGTCCTCCATACCTTTTGATTGTTCACAACACACGTAACATGTAACATGTCATCCCATTGGACACGTTCATTACCATCTTGACTTTTTCCGGATCGACGACCTCTTCCTTGGCCACATCCAAAGCCACCCGATTTGAACTCCAACGCCATAATGTTTACACCATGTTGTTTGTCCATTCCTTTCTTGTCTTGACAACCATACCTTTGTCGATCAATCATATTCCGAGAGATTCTTCCATCGAACTCCCTCGGTTCAACCTTCTCGCATATGTCGTGTGCATCCATAATCAACTTGCATTTGATTCCCCACGCCGGATAATTCGTTGGAGTCAAAACTAGAACTTGATACGTCATCAAACCTCTTTATATAACCATCGACATCCTATTCTCTCCTTTGACAACCCCGACCTCTTTAATCAAGCTTGTTCCGAGAGCATTTTTCCACCGAACAACAAGACAAGGTCACGACCACCTTTACCGTCTCCCGTCACCCGCAAAACGAACTGAATCAAAGCCACCTGCTTTGACGTCTTCCCGTCCGTTTATTCCGCGCCTCCGGTTAGTCTCTCTCTACCTTAGAACAAGCCTGATCAAGAAAAATCGGGGCTGCTGTTGAGATGCTTCAACTCGCGTTAAAAAACAATCCACACCCCCTTAAACCGAACCCGGTTCCCGCTGCGTCTGCCCCGTAGCGAAAGGCTAGAGTTTTCTTGAAACCGACTCTCAAACTGACCGCCCTAGGTTCTGATACCAAGTGTAGGTATACCACCTGATATTACATTGGTGCCCAAGGTATGAACTGAACAAAGAAGAAGAAAATAACAAGAACGATGAATTACTTAGTGAACTTTATTGCTGGAAAAAAGTTAACTTAAACATCCTAAACATTAACCTTATTTATATTAATAAAACTAGACTCCTACTCTAACAAAAAATTTGCATAAAAGGAATGTTTCCTAAAATACCCCTAGAACTAAAATTATCCCAGATTTCCTCTTGTAATAAATCGATTAATCCAACAGAGTGCCATAGAAATAGTACATGTTGGTATCCTCATATTAGAAAGGTTGAACAAAATAAATGTTTTTACCAAATCGAATAATTTATTCTTACATTTTTTTGCAGACATAACCAATATTTGTAAACTAAAATGTCAGACACGATGAATCCTTTGTATAAAAATTTCTACATGTCAAAAAGTTTAAAAAATATCAAATGAATTTAATAGCTTTTATTTTGTATATGAGTGTTCGGTAAAATATCTGAAACCTTTTAAATATGTAAAATTGACATAAAATGATATCTTTGTAAAATATAACACTAGAAATATAATTTTAAAAAAAAGGTATTTAAGTCAATTTGAAAAAAAAATACAAAATAGTTTTTTGTTAAATGTTATTTGAAGTAGCTTTTGGATTTAAAACTTTGTGTTTAAGCTAAAAAACTAAAAGCTAAAAAAATCGAACAAAAAAAACTTTTCATCGTGAGTTTATTCTAATAAAAGAACAAATTACTAAAGTATCTCTATTGTAACACTCTAAATTTTCAAACAAAATTTTCATTTTTAATTCCACACAAAACACGGTTTTATATCTCCTACTCAAATCATAATTGTCTCAAAACACAATCACAAAAGTGTTTGACTCATATCCCATAATCCTTAAAACATAAATCAATAAGTTGGTGTCTACAATCATGCCGACGCCTTCCCGCGATCCTGAGATGTACCTGAAACACATTTCACACAACACTGTAAGCAAAAAACTTAGTGAGTTCCCCAAAATATCACACACAAATAATTAGCCTCTCATGGCTATATCTCAATAAGGACCCTCCGGTCATGTGTCTCAGTGAGGACCCTCCGGTCTCGCAGCTCGGGTTGGACCCTCCAGTCCTTTATCTCAGTGAGGACCTGTGACAACCGTCAAATTCAAGTCAAAGTCAAAGTCGAAGTCAACAAGTCAAACCGGTCAAATTTAACTAGTACTTGTATATTAACAATGTAAAAACCCTAAAAAGGGAGTTAAACGCATCAAAACACGACTAAGGACCCTTTCGGGGACTTAAAACAGTCATTAACGAAGCATAACGGGATTCGCGAACCTTGCAGTTGCGAGATTATGCAATAATAATGGCTAAGGTGAAATCTCTCCCAAATCTCTCCAAGTATGTGAAATCTCTCCCAAATCTCTC